CCATACCAAATTATGGAAGCAGCCCACATGTCCATCGATAGATGAATGGATAAAGAAGATGTGGGGTGTGTGTGTGTGTGTGTGTGTGTGTGTACATATGCACAATGGACTAAGCCATTAAAAAATGAAATCTTGCCATTTGCAACAACATGGATGGATCTAGAGGTTATAATGCTAACTTAAATAAGTCAGAAAAAGACAAATACCATATATTTTAATTATACGTGAAAACTGAGAAATAAAATAAACAAAGAAAAAAGAGATGAACCAAAAGCCAGACTCTTAACTGTAGAGAGCAAACTGATGATTACCAGAGGGGAGGTCAGTGGGGGGCAGGTGAAATAGGTGAAAGGGATTATGAGTACATTTATTGTGATGAGCACTGAATAACGTATAAAATTGTTGAATCACTATGTTGTACACCTGAAACTAGTATGTTAACTACTGAAATTAAAATCAATCAATCAGTCAATCCCTATTGGATTTCTCTGAGAATCTCAAATTACTGATGAGAAATCATGCATCTTAGTTATTTAGTTATTCATTTTATTTTAGAAAGAGAGAAAGAGTGAGCAGGGGAGACAGGCAGAGAAAGAGAGAGAGCGAAGCCAAAGCAGGCTCCATGCGCAGAGTGGAGTCCAACGCAGGGCTTGATCCCATGATCCTAGGACCATGAAATGAACCCAAATCAAGTTGGACAGTCAACTGAGCCACCCAGGCACCCCCTAGTTATTTTTAATTGGGGGATGGGAGAGGAGAGATGATATTTGAGAATATGGCAAAGCCAGGGACTGTACACACACACACACACACACACACACACACACACACAAGCAGGCAGAAGCAAAGGCACAAAATTGTGTACAAATCTCAAGTCCCCTACATTTCTTGAAGTTCTTCCCATGATTATTCTGGTCATCTGTGAACCAAACTGAGATCATCTGATCGAACCTATCCCGTATTTTAAAACAAAACAAAACAAAACAAAACCTGAAGCCAACAGGATTACAGCAGAATCAAGTGACTTCCTCAACAAAACACGTTTGTTTGGCAAGCTGAGACCAAAACCCACATTTTCTGACTCCTAATTAAATGCTGTTTCCTCCAACAGTTTCCTTTGCTGTCTTCCATTATCCTAGTGGGGAAAGAGTGAGACTTCTCTGCTTTGTGGAGGTCTCAGACGGAATATTTACCAAAAATTTTGCACATCACAAATATTTACATTCTTCCCCACCAAACTAATGCTTCCCATTATTTGCATAATAATACCCAGGAGGGGAATCGGGCAAATCCGTCTTTGGCGTACATGTCTTAGATTGTGTACTCAGATTTAGCTGTGATAAACACACATAGCTACCGTCTAAACAAATTTTTATGAAATACTGACAAAGGCCTGAGATATTATACATCAGTTAAGTCAGTGCTATCTGTATCCAGAAAACTTTAGAAATATTTTACTCAGGGAAAAAGAAAAATAAAATGTAGACTTGTTTGTGGCAGGGTGGGGGGGAGGGGAGGAGGGGGGCGCAGAGGGTGGGGGGGGTGTTCATTTGGTGTTTGGTTTTCCCAGGTGCCCCAAATTAAACTAACTCACACTTTCTGGCTATCACTCAAACTGTGTTGACTTTGCTACTGCTTTCCCAGATCCTTCTCAAAACTAAAGGATTTTGTTCTGGCATTTTAATCAGTGATTAACTACTCCCTTCTTTTTCCTGCTGTGTCAAGTAAAAGATCCATATGCCGGGTGTTGTCGGGAATTTGTTAGGCTGTAGATCATAGCTGTGGTGCAAGACATGATGCATCTCAAGGGAACGAATGAAGCTATAAAGAATGTAAAGAGTCACGGGGTTAAAGCCACATTAGGACAGCTGTTAGGTTAATGAGGGCCCTGCTCTGGAGAGGAGGTCACTGTATAGAAAAATATGAACCCCTCTTTATTGGTTTGATCCCATGTCCTCCGCAAGTTAATGGGCTTTTCTCATTCTCCTTTGACATTCACTGAGCCAGACGTGAATGCTGGGCACTGAGCAAACGGCAAGGGCTTGAGATTTATTCTGTCCCCCGTCCTGGTTTTCGGCAAAGGCAGACATGAGGTACAACAACACTGAACGCTCTTTTAGTTTCCCATCACTCTCTTTGATTTCTTTAAAATCCGTGCTTATTTTTTGACTCTGAGTTCAGAGCTGATCTTCTATCTGTCGAAAGGACAGACTCGGGATGTGGGCTTGACCAATAGGGAGTATAGAGACCAAATCCTGGAATCTAGTGGGCACGCAACAAAAGTTTGCTGGAAGAATGGAGATAGGAATGGATCTGACTTCAGATTTAAATCAGGTCATCACAGAGCTATAATAAAAGCAACTAGATTTGGGGGTGCCTGGGTGGCTTAGTCGGTTAAGCGTCCGACTTTCGCTTGGGTCGTGATCTCGCGGTTCGTGGGTTCGAGCCCCGCGTCGGGCTCTGTGCTGACTGCCAGCTCAGAGCCTGGAGCCTGTTTCAGGGTCTGTGACTCCCTCTCTCTCTGATCCTCCCCTGCTCACGCTGTCTCTCTCTCTCTCCTAGAAATAAATAAAACGTTAAAAAAATTAAAAAAAAAAAAAAAAAAGCAACTAGATTTGATGTATATAATATTTATAACACTGTTCTGTAATATCAGAGTACATACACTACATATATTCCATAACATAATATTTAGTTACACTTATTATCATAATTTGTGGTTAGTGGTGGTCACTTCTGGAGAGGAACACTGAATCCCCATGTATCAGGTAGGGAGATTCAGTAGTTCCTGCAGTAAAACATTTGTACTATAAACCTCCACATATCTGCGACTCTTGCCTTCGCTCACCCTTCCATCCACATCCTGCTTACAAAATCTGTTGCCTACTTTCCACCTCTGAATACTTTGGCCACTGTCCTTTCCTTTCCACTCCCATGGCCACTGACCCGTTTCGTGCCCCGCCCTCCACTGCCTATCACATCAACTGTGAAAGCAGAGCCTTCGCCTGAAACCCAAGGCTCACAAGTTGTCCTCAGCCTGGACACCCAACCATATTCCTCCCTGCCCCCTCCTACCTCTTCCTAGCTTCCAGCCACATTCAACAATCCACTGTTCCTTCAACGTGAATGGAAATGAAAGATCACCAGATATGTAACTCAAGTGTTTGTCCACATTGTTCCTCTTACTAATACACTCATGCCACCCTCCCTGACCAGTGAATTTCTATTTAGCTTCAAAAGTTCATCTTAAATCTGGCGTCTTCGGGAGCCCCTCCTGTTACTCCAGCAAGATCTCTTTCTTTCCTCTTCTCAAATCCCACCGCACTTTGTTTCTGTCTTATAGTACTTATTATACCTGTGTTGTTGTTGTTTTTATTATTACTTGTGTTTACTTCATTAACCATATCAGACTGCAGCTCCTTGAGAGATTTGTCTTCATTCATCTTAGTATTCCTTCACTTTGTTAGCCCTATGATAGATGGAAAGCCAAGGTGAATAAGACAAGTCTTCTGACTGGGCTCTGTGACCTGGAAGAGGATATTCCTGTAAAAGTCTATGAAAGGAGAGGAAATCAGCTGCAAATCAAATGCACTGATCAATCTAGAGACCAGATCAGCGGACCCGTTCACTGCTGAGTCTCCAGCCTCACTTTGACTATGAAAGTCAGGTAGCTGGGAAGAACACAGCATTTCCAGATGAGGTAACCTAAGGAGTATTCAATCAACCAATGGAAACATTTTACACCAAAGCAGCCTTTCTGGAGAGTTCAGAGTACTTCTATAAGTTCAAAAGATTATTCGGACTATTCTTAAAATAACATAGTTACTTAAAATGCTTCTAGACTTTAAAATTCTTAAAAGGGGTTTTACTGTATACACCTATGTGCATCGTCATAATTGAAAGACCAAGAAGAGGAAATATATAGAATCCAATTACCTGTATCAGTTACTAGTTTTATGGTCTTAGGTAGTTACTTAAATACTCTGACAAATAAACTGGGGACAATGACAGTACCAAGCTAAAGTTTTAATGATGAGTAAACGGGTTAATTCACGTAAAGTGCTTAGAGCAGTGACTGACACAAAAGAATCACTTAAAATTTATTTGCTATTATCTATGTACCATCCCTAAGGTCCATATAGTAGCCGGTATATAATGAGAATTCCTGAAATGGCGAATGAATAACATGAACTAACACACTTGACCCAGTCTAATCATATTCTCCCAGTAATGATACCCAAAGGCTAAAATAAGAATGTACATTTTCATGAATAGCAAAACAAACAAACAAACAAAAACCACCAAAAACCCCACTAAGGATGAAAAATAAAACAAGCAGATCACATTTTCAAACCTATACATATAAAATACTTGTCCCAGACAACATCAAAGGCAAGGAGCCAAGCATATCTATCCTATCGATAAATTTAACTAGACTTACCAACCTATTAAGGGAGAAAAAATATAATTTTCTGACTGCTTAGCAATGTAAAATACTGCTATTCAATAGACATACCTAAAACAAAAGAGATTGGGGTGGGGAGAGTGGATCAGGTAAATACAATAAAAATGAAGAAGAGGTCATGATATCGCCATCATGACAAGGCAAAAGACAAAAGGCACTAGGGAGAGGGGTGCTTGGTTGGCTTAGTTGGTTAAGCACCCGGCTCTTGGTTTCAGCTCAGGTTGTGATCTCATGGTTTGTGAGTTCGAGCCCCTCATCAGGCTCTGTGCTGACAGCGGAGAGCCTACTTGGGATTCTCTCTCTTCCCATCTCTCTGCCCCTCCTCTGCTCTCTCTCTCAAAATAAATAAATACACTGTTAACCAAAGCCACTAGAGAGAAAGGTGGGAACTTTATACTACTAAAGGCTATAACTCACAATGAAGTGCCATCCCTAACATATTTATTTTCTTGGTTTAAAACCTGGTTTAGAGGAGAAGGCACTTTTTTGTTTCCCATCGGATTTAATCAGGGCGTGGGTGTTTTCGAGTCAGTACCTGCACTCGGGCCTCTGTGAGCTTCGCCCTCTGCGCCAGCTCCTCCCTGGTATAAATGTCAGGGTAGTGGGTCCTCTCGAAGGCTCGTTCCAGTTCTTCGAGCTGTTCTGCTGTGAAGGTCGTTCGGCTCCTGCGCTGCTTTCTCTTCAGGGGCAAATCCGGTTCAGAGTCAATGTCGGAGCCTTCATCCGACTGGGGTGCTGAGGCTAAAGGCACAAGAGAGAAAAAGCAATAAAATGGGAGTCAGAAAACAAGTGTGCCCAAGCCCAAGCCTTAGTGATTCAAATCCTAATGCACATTCCCAGTGTCTTCCCCTGGACACCAAGCCCCTCTCTGCAGTATTACATTATTAAATGATATTTAATCTCCTCCCCTATTTTGTCTCCAAGCCCCCCAGGCAGAAATCATTGTTCTCTGCATCTGTCAGTCTTGGTCCATTAGCGATCTTAGAAAACAGGGACAACAATTCTTCCATTTGTACAGCCCTCATGCTTAGCACTTAATGGGTACTCCATTTGTGTTATGAATGATTCAAATTTAATTTGGCTCCAAATTAACTTTCTCCAACTTTTACATGAGGAAATCTGTTTAAAAAGGTGATTCTTAAAAAAAAAAAATTCCTGGGGTGCCTGGGTGGCTCAGTCGGTTAAGCATCCGACTTCGGCTCAGGTCATGATCTCTCAGTTCATGAGTTCAAGCCCCGCGTCGGGCTCTGAGCTGACAGCTTGGAGCCTGGAGCCTGCTTCAGATTCTGTATCTCCTTCTCTCTCTCTGCCCCTTCCCTACTCATGCTCTGTCTGTCTCTCAAAAATAAATAAATGTTATTTAAAAATAAAACATTTTTAAAAATTTTTTAAAAATAAAAATAAAATTTTAAAAAATTCCAAAACTGACATAGTATCTAAGAAGTCCTTAATAGTTACAGGATTCCAACAAATTTATAGATTCTCCCACTTCTGTAGAAGAAATCATACTTAAATTTAGTATCTTATCACCAGATATTGAGAAATATTTAAGAAGAGTTTAGATATTGTTAATGTAAACCTCAAGAACAGACTCAAGAAAAAGGAGGCATAGTTGAGTGACCTGTCCCTAAATGAAAAGTTCCAAGCCTGGGTCTCTGCTGAATGGTGAGCAGATGCCCAGAGACAGCTGCCTAAGTTGAGGTACACAGTGAGAAATAAAAACACAAATGCCTGTGATCAAAAATTAGTGCAACTGTGAGATGGTCACACAGAGCAGAGAAACCAAACACAGGGCCCTTCTGAGCACGGGGCCATGAGTGGGTGACTGTGTCGGTCATGTGTCCCTGAAGCCAGCCCTGTTGCAGGCCCCTCCCCAGAAAGTTTGAGTTGGTCTGTGTTAGGAGACATCAGGGAAGGAGATTTTCCATAGTTAGTGTGGGAGCATCTCCAAAAGAGAGGAAGGAACTGGGAAGTGAGATAGGAATTTGCATGAATGATACAATATGGCATCTGTGAGTTAACGATACAGTATCTGTCAGCCTAGAGATCATTTTGAGGTGTGAGGGTGTAGCAGACAGAGTGCTCTGGCCCGGGGAGCAGCTCTCTGCTGGAGGCCATGGACATGAGGACAGTAGTGGAAGGCCTTCGGAGGGCTCTTCAGCCACATACTGTGAGTGGAGCTCAGGACCCCAAGTGCCCTTGCTACTGAGCCAACCCAAATGCACTCTGGAAACTCCCCAGATAACGGAGGGATCCTCTGGGGAAGAAGCTGAAGCGTGCTATCTGCAAGTGAGGAAGGAAATCCAGAAAACTGTAGATTATTAATGCCACTGTCAAGGTTACTCCTTTGCACACGCAGGCTGGAGGGCCTGAAATACGGGTGGTGCCAAAAGCAATGACAAAATGCAAAAAAACCTGCTAATTCCATTTTCTCTTAAACTCAGACACCTCTGCCCTACAGAAATCGAAAACTTCCATTCTACTTCAGTATAAATTATAAGCTGCCCAAAAGGGGTACACGTCCAACATAACCCCTAAATATAATTTTAAGTTTTTTAGTATTTAATACTTTTATAATGTATTCACACTCAAACGTTAAAATTGAGAGAGTGAATTAACAATCTACGTGACAAATTAAAGAAAAACAAATTCCTGTGCATGAAAGCAAAATGGAAACATAATATGTAATGCATCACATGCATAATATGTATGTGAGCTATTAGGCTTGGTTTTTCCATTATGTTATCTAATTTAATATAAAATAGTCTAGGTTTTTTTTTTTCAGTTTATTTATTTTGAGAGAGAAAAAGAGATAGAAAGATAATCCCAAGCAGGCCCCCCAGCCCGATATAAGGCTCGAACTCACAGACCAGAAGATCGTAACCTGAGCCGGGATCAAGAGTTGGATGTTCAACCGACTGAGCCACCCAGGCACCCCTAAAATGGCCTAATTTGATACAAATCTTGTTTGGAAATACTTAGGAAATAAAACTAAACTTTCTCTAAGTGTGGGAATATTTTAGAGGAGCATTAACATGCTAAGAAATGTGCCATACGTTGCATTATAGACTTCAAAATCACTTATGTGTGTATGTTTGATAAATGTGAGTCCAGTTAAAAGAGCAGTAATTTAAAAAAAAAAAAAAAAAGAGCAGTAATTTGTGCATCATACTAGGGCACTGGATCTTGAACTGCTGGAGCATCAGAATCACTTGAAAAGCTTGTTAAAACACAGATTGCGGGGCACCTGGGTGGCTTAGTCGGTTGAGCATCCGACTTTCACTTAGGTCATGATCTCGCGGTCCGTGGGTTCGGGCCCCGCGTCGGGCTCTGTGCTGACTGCCAGCTCAGAGCCTGGAGCCTGTTTCAGTCTGTGACTCCCCCTCTCTCTGACCCTCCCCTGCTCACGCTGTCTCTCTCTCTCATAAATTTAAAAACATTAAAAAACAAAAACCCAGAAAACAAAACACAGATTGCTGCCCACCCCCCTTCCAGAGCTTTCTGCTTTCTCAGGTGGTATGCCAACTTTGCTGACCCTAAATGATACTTTGAGAACCACCTCTACAGAATATTCCACACTCTCATTTTCTCTCTCAAAATTCCCAAGTATATAAAATACTCCCTGCTGTAATTTATCAAAACAACCCTCCACATACATAATATACTTCTCATGCAATGGATTAGTCATTCTAAAGCCATGAAGGTCCACAAAATGTTTCTCTTCCCTTCTTCCAGTGTCTGTTGCCCTGGCTTTTCTGTCTTCTGTGAATTCAGATGCAAAACCCAACAGCCTTTAAGGACTGACCAAAAGCTTCCTCCGCCTGTGAGAACCTTAACTCTTTGCTTGTGCCCTTTCCCTTACTATGATCCCATTAGGATAATAGTATGTGGAAATTTTCATGTTTCCTCTGGGGGTCTCTAGGGTTATTAAATCGTCCCAAGTAAATATGACGTGCCATGCACTGTCAGGTCAATTAATCAACATCACCTCTAGTTTCGGAAGAAAAGGGGCTGCTTACATTAACAAGTACCAATGAGAGTTAACTCTGAGGGTCAAGACCACTGTGTTTCAGCTGAACGATCCATGTCCCCCTGAATATCAGCTCTGTGAGCTCACAAAGGCTCTCTCCTCCTTGTTCCTGCTGGAAAGCCTTGGAACACAGTAGGTGCTCACTAAACCCATGTCGACCGAACGGAAGCACCAGGTAGAATTTAAGTTTTGGACCAACACTGACTTCTCAGCCGCTATTTTGCACCTTTAAATGGAAATGCTGCCTTTCTGAGTCTCCCAGCATGCACTGACATGAGGTTTGGGAGTCCATAGATCCTCAAAAAGTATTTGGAAGTTTTTGCAAGTATTTGCATAACTGTATTTTTCTAGAAAATAATTATCAGTTTTTTCTGAGGACTGTGATTTTTTCCAAAACAAGATGATCACCAATAGCTAGTAATTAAAAAGATTCAGGGTAGTCTTTTTGAGGTCCCCGGGTAGCTGAGTTGGTTAAGCATCTAACTTCAGCTCGGGTCATGATCCTGAGGTTCATGGGTTCAAACCCCATGTCAGGCACTGTGCTGACAGCTCAGAGCCTGGAGCCTGCTTCTGATTCTCTGTATCCCTCTCTCTCTCTGCCCCTCCACCCGCCTGCTCACACTGTGTCTCTCTGTCAAAAATAAACAAGCATTAAAAAATTTTAAAAAGACTCAGAATGGCTGGGAGTTCAAGAAGACAGGCTTTGCCAACAAAAATAAAATTTTCTTCAATAAGCTAATAAGTCATTACTTGTATTTCTAGATGTTTATTCAAAAGCAGTCCAGTGGTTGTGTCTAACTAGGAAAGCCTCCATAAAGCATCATTTCAAAAGACACTGAAGAAATGACTTGTCTGATCTTTCTGCTGGAAAATTATCTGAGCCAACAGATCCTTTCTGGCAATATGAAGCCACAGTTGCAGCAGTTAATTCTAACTCGTCCCCATCTGTACACCCCAAAAGGATGTGGGCTTTAAAATATGTTAAGTCAGCAACCGAAGATGAATCTACCAGCTAGGAAATGCTAGCTATTTCTAAAGATGGAAACACCACCGTTTCTTATATCACCCAATAGAAATAAGATTCATTGTTTACGCAGAACACAATTTACAATAGTGTCCTGAGTTTGAATCATTCAGTTCTTACCAAAAACAAACCTGATACACGCCATTTTCATAGCAAAAAAGAAAACATTTTGTTGACGTTCATCTAGTTTACATAGTCAACGTTACTCTAGATACTAGAGACAAAGCACTTAATCTTGCTAAATATTGCACCAAGTGAAAACAAGGCTTTATTTTTTTCCCAGACAGCTCAACACAAAGAAATTATAGTTTTTCTAATACTATGGCTTCGACCCTGCAATCAATACCAATAACACAATTATCTAAAATAGATCGACAGGAAATAACAACTAGAATAAATATAATCTCGCCAGTAATATAATCTCTTTGGATTATTTCTGCTGTCTAGCCTTAGTATTAAGAGGAGATTTTCAACTGCATTTGAGTTGCCCAGTCATATTCTATACATGCCTTCACAACGTTTGCTTTATTATTCATTAAATAGAGATATTGTTCCCCAATGTGAAATCCCAGAAAAGCTCTCATAAGAAACCCACACCAACACATGATATATGACTTTTTAAGTGGAAATTGCACTGCTCTAAATTGCATAATTCTCCAATTTTACCCCAATCCATGTTCTTATCAG